CCCCAAAACCCCAAAACCCCAAAACCCCAAAACCCCTTAAGTATCTACAAAAATTGAACAATAGTTATAAAATTTTATTGATCCCCAGCTTTTAAGAGATGGCTACACTTCCTTATAAAATGCTTCAAAATATCCAGAAGAATCACAATAAGATACTAAAGCCGGTGGTATTAGCAGCCATGGCTTCTGATAGGGTTCCGAAGAAAATCACTCCAGTGCAGTTGCCTGATACATTACCTGATGAAGGAATGGACATCAGCGATGCTATGGCCATGTTTAGTAAGAATTACCTCAGCAGCTATTATGGCGAAGACTTTGAGAAAGATGCAGACAAAAGTTTTGAATCTGACCTTCCATTCGAAGAAACACCACTTGGAATTCGGCTCACGGAGAATTCAGATAAAGATTTTGAAAAAGATAGAGTATCTATCCCTACTATTCTGGGGGATGGTCTTGGATGCATTACCAATAATCCTAAATTCTCATGGGCATGCAATCCATGAGATACCGAGTTTGAGATAGAGGTATGAGATGCATTGGCAGAGCAATTCGGTCTTAATGATGAATATTTGCATGTTTACAATGGTGTCGGAATCATTAACTCATGTGAGTCGGATGGGCTATTCACTATCCTAATCACAGCTCAATTCTTAAAAAGACAAGCGATCAAGGATGATTCTTCAACCTCGGATAAGTTCATAGTATACTGCTCAAAAAGAGAGGAAATTTATCCAATCCAAAGAATTGCGAGGATGCAGGATATGACTCTTCGTCAATTTTCTTCACCAGAGGAGCTGCAAGACTTAATTGCTGAGGACAAATCAAATGGTTTGCATCCGAGCTTGGTTATTTACGATGCTAAGCTTCAAGAGGAAGAGAAATTCAAAGAAAATCTTGAGCATGTAGAATCCCTCTGATCCTCTGAGGCAGAGGAAAATGAAATCTGGATGCACGTGAACCTAGGACATGATGGATGCTTATCCATGCTTGATGAATACAAGTACCTCACCAAAGTATCCAGTGATTCGCTGATAATCGAAGGCTCAAAGCATCTTGAGACTTCCTTTGAATCATCCTTAATGTGGGTAAAGAATAGGGAAAGGATCGAAAATGGCATGCATCTTGAAGCAAAGATTACAAGAAAATTTGGAATCCTCTTCAAAAGTGACAAGTATTCTGTAGATTACAAGAACTATCAGGTCTACTTAGGTAAGATGAACAGAGCATATAAGGTCTGGTTTGCAGTAAACATGCATGGCCTTGATGGCTTAAAAGAGAAGATCAGGAATAGTATTTCATAGCCTCTTTCAATAATCTTTAAGAATTAAGGGGTTTTGGGGTTTTGGGGTTTTGGGGG